AGAAGGGACATTTGAAAAAAAACGAGAGAAGTTTTGAAAACTGCCTGGCAGGCAGCAGTCCAAAGGAATTCGTTCAAAATTGTATTGCCTCTGTGGAAATTTCCAATTTTGACAAATTGGTAAATGCTGATGAGGAACTTTTACAGCCGACTTTTCTGACGATCTTCATTACTCAACCTGTGATCGATTTAGACTTCAGCCGCTGCAAATTCTGTGCCAAGCAGCCTGCTTCAGCTGAGCCAGCTCTTCTACCGAGGAACAAGTCAGCAGGACTTCAGACCATCAGAAAGGGTATCCCAGCAGCAGGAGACTTGGCATAGTGGAATGGACAAAGGCACTGATACCAACTCTAACTATGCTCTGAATTTTTATTTTTTGACGAGTCAATGATGTTGACATTTTCTAGTGTGGATACTTAATGTTGGACAGCTGAAGGCAGATTTGGAAAACACCTGTACTTCACATTACTTTTACACTTCATTTAATCCTCCTGCCTCAGCTTCCCAAGTATGGAAAAATTAAGATAATGAAATTATTATCTTCAGAGAGAGGTTATTATAATTAATGTTTGTAAAATCCTAAATGATATTAAAGCACACAGTAAACCTTTCAGCTAAGGATAGATAAGGATCTATAAATCTTCTGCAATTTGGTATGTTTATGGCTTTTTTTTATTGTTTGATTATCTTTTCAGTATTGATATCATGACAGTTCAAGTAAGGAAAGAGAATCAGAAGAAACCAGTGCTTGAGAACCATGTGAAACATCATTTTAATAGTTATTGCTTTTACTACCTCTATAGAATGTGTTTTTCTTCCTCTCTTTATTCTTAGCTTTCTTGAATCTTTTTTTGTCAGTTTACCTTTGGCTTCCATCTTCGGAGAAACTGGCCTAAGCTAAGCCAGATAAGGCTTCTCTTTTAACATTTATGACCAGGACAAGTTAGAAATGATGCTATAATAGTATTTGCTGAAATTCTGAACACTTCATGTGATGATGGCATCTGCATGTCATATTCTTTGCCCGAGATTTTTTTTCCCCTAAAAGAAGCATCAGAAATAGAAGCTATATCCTTACCCTTTCCTGTTGCTGTTTCTTTGTTTAACCTTCAAAGTCAGTGATTCAGAATAACTTAAGAGCTCACAAGTGTAAATGAGTCAGCCACCCCTCCTCCCAACAGAGGGTTCTTCTTTAAAAACTAGCCTTGTTCAGAAGCACGAGGCCTCCATTGATTTAAGCACTTTTGTAAATCAGACCTATTAGTTATGTGTTTACATGTCAGTTGAAGAAAAAGATTTTATAATTCTAGAGGAAAAAACTTGTCCTTAATTTCTCTCAAAAAAAACCCTTCTTGATTTGTACACGAAAACACGTTGCATTTTGTAGCTGAGTACATTCCTTTGGCTTTTCCACAAGCACTGATGATCCAGAACTGTTTGAATCTCCAGTGGGCTTGTGCTGTTCCTGACAGAATGTGAGTTATAAAAAGCCTGTAACTGCGGTGACTGCTGGATGAATTCTCATTAGAGGATCCATCTGAAACTGTGCTTTGTGCCTCTGAATTGTTTTCAGCAAGTTACTAGCAGGACAAAGTGTTATGTTTTAACACAGATTTTATTTGGCGAGCATGTATTCTTGCAAAGCAATAACTACAATATTTGTTGTAAAAAAGGAAGATTCATTTTTTTTCTTTTTGTAGACACTGATTCTGAAACCCTGAGTTCAAATTTGTAATTCAGAGGAATCTTTATTGTAACAGTATGTAAAGTAACAAAGAAGAAACAGACACAAGGCTCAGGCTGCTAACACTAACAGATGGTAACAGGAATAATTCAAGAATTATCATGTTTCAGCTTCTTTTGTCTTTAAGGACCAGTTTCTGTGTATGTAGGGTATGAATAGAAACTTATAAAATATGCAGAATTTTGAGAGAGTATAGGAGGCAGAAATAAAAATCTGCCAGTCCCTCTTTAGTGTACTTTGCTCTTTCTTTTTTTTCCTGCCTTCCTTGGTTCTGTTTTCTCACCCTTCCTTTTCCTGTGGTCTTCTCATCTTTTGTAACTTTTCAGCTTCCCTTGTCCCTTTCATACCCCGTTTCAAGACGTTCTCCCTACTCCTTTCACTCTCTGCCGTGGCGTGGCTGTCTCCTGAGGAGAAGCAGCCTGCTGGAGTGCCTGCCTGCAGGACGGACCCCCACCTCGGGAGAGAGCAACTGGTTGTGTTGAAACTCACCGCTCTTGCCATTGCCTGGAGCTATGCTGGTTTAAGGTAGTTTTGGAAAAAGAAAAAAAAAAAAAAAAGAAAGAGAAATAAAGGTGCATGATTAATTTGCAGCCATCCCCATTCTTGAGGTTATCAGGGATGAATATGCCCCAGGACTTTTTATGTACATAGAAGTGCTCATCTTAATTATGACAACCTGAAATGAAGGTCTTGCAGCTGAGGGTCTGTGGGTAGCAAGCCTCTTTTTCTTCCCGTCCATCCCCCCTACACTCCCAAGCTCTTGATCCTTCACACCTTTGCAGTGATTTGAAGTGAGCAACGCACACCAACAAGGGGAATCTACAGACTGTTGTAATAGCATTCAGTAATATGTTGGGGTCAGTTTGTTTGTTCTCAGCTCTGTCATCTCTGCTCATTTCTGATGGGAGGATGGATCCGGAATTATGTAGAAATAATAGAATAATAATAATAGAATGATAGAATTTAATTTTTAATAATAATAGAATTTAATTTAATAATAATAGAATGATAGAATTTAATTTTTAATTAAAACTTAAAATGCAAGGCAAGCCTGAAGATTCCATGTCCTGTAGTTTACTATATCCAAATCTTAAACTCATTCTCACCTGTCAAATAATACATCACATGCAAACAACTGATAGCAATAGAATGAGGTTACAAGAGGACTGTGCTTCCAACCATTTCGGGGCTATGTGTGTGTGCAGGTTAAGATTTGCCAAGTGACTTTGTTGCCTATGGTAGGGTTCCTTCAGGTTATACCAGTATAAATTAAATTAGCCACGGTTCTCTGCTGTCAGGATACTTGATTGTCAGTCATATTTTTGTAACACCAGTGTTTTTCACGGAATTGTAATTAAGATTTTGTGTTGTCATTATAGCACAGGCCAAATCTCACAGCACAGGCCAAATTTCACAGTTAGTCCCTGAAGCACTGTTTTACCCCCTGAAGAGTAGCTCTCTTGTCACTTTTCCATTTCATCTCAGCCTGTGCCAGGTAACCATTTGGAGGGAATAATCTTTTTTTCTGGAGAGTCTCCCACAGGCAACATGCAGTCACTGGTTTTCTGAATTGTACCTGTGGTTTCTGTATGATGTTTCAGCCAGACCCATACTTTATCCTTGTTGAATAATAAGAACAGTGCAGACTCAGCACCTTTTGTTGTCCCCTGACTTAAAATTAGTTTGTAAGGTGTTTGGAGTAGAAATCAACTCAGCATATGGATGCTGTGTAGGGGATTACAGAAGTCTTGATCACACAAATAAACCTCTCTCACGACGTGTAGGGGAAGTGTGCTCTTGAACTTTCAGAGTGACACATAGTAAGAGTCAGCCTCTATTTGTTTGCTGGCAAAGCAGAGATGATCCTGGAAAGAAGATTCCAGGAAAAAGGAAAGGCTTTACAAAGTCCTGTATTCTAATAAGCATGTCTAGTGTTCGGCTGGAGAAGCAAATTCGAGTTTCCTTAAAGATGAGAGCATAGGAATGTGCCTCCCCGATGCTCCAGAAGTTTTCTGAAGGTACTGTATGACCCCATCTCTGCTTTGGGTGCAGCTACATCCCTTTGAAAACACAGTGCTCCCCATGCTCCCGGAACAGCCCTGCCTTTGCCTGGCGGCTGCTAAAGCATCTCCTGTCATGGGTGAGCACTGCTGATTTCTCCCAATAGAGGGCAGTGATTATACTGTTGGCCTCAATGCAGTTAAAAGTAAAATCTGCCTGTGCCACGTATTTGTCAAAAGGTAGCTTTTAGGAATACAGAAGCTATTACCTATCCATATTAAATGATGATTAAATATGGAAATCATAATACAACAGCAGGATCACTCATATAACAGGCAGCTGTATTATTTTTAGGACTCGGAAATTCTGAGGTGAGTCAAATTGCAACTAGTTGTATTCAAATATTTCTTTTCCAGCCAGCAACTGGCTTTAAGGCAGAGAATTCCTCGTGTTGACTGTCTGGAATGCAGACGGTAGTTGGCAACTGCTGTAGGAAATTTCCTGCAAGGGTGTGCTGTCCCTCTTGGTGAATATCGTTCCATTTTGAGCCTAATTGAAAACTGAAGATAGAAAACACAGCAATTATTTTTCCCTGCAGTACAATATTTAATATTCTGATTTCATGGCTGTCTGACTACAATGATTAGGAAGAACATTTTCTTATAGTATTTACAGTACCACAACAATATATCAGGAGCATCATGTATCAAGGGAAGGAACTATTATGTTAAAATACGTTCCACTTAAAAACATACCCAATTAAAAAGTAGGATGCTGCTGCGTGTTACATTTGGCGTCGTCAATAATTGCTTCATAAGCTTTTTCTTGTCTGTGGCTTTGAAAAAGCTACTCAGGATGGAGAAAACAGCCTTGAACTAGAAAGGCTTTGATAGGAATGATCTGCAACAATAGAGATAGCGCCTCTGCAACAGAGGCATTTTCTGTTTAGAACTGTACTACCGCGTTAAGTCCAAGACAGAGTGGTTATTTTTGCTGGTGGAGAAATGGGAAATCATGTGTGTAGTTGCTGATGGCTGTATAGTCCTTTAACTGAAACAAACTACTCAGTGGGACAAACTCTCGTCTGATAACCTCTGTCTTAAGTGGGGTAGAGACCCCCAGTATTTACACCAGAACACTGGTTGGGAGAAGTAAATAAGGGCAGAAACTTGTTCAAAACATCCCATAATTTTGCATAGAGAGTTAAGAAGTACTATACATTTTAAATGTTTGCTTGTTTTTTCTTTTTATATCAGATAGTATTACTGAAGTCTTCACTAACATCTACGTGACCAGTTTTGGACCTGTTTCAGATACTGATATGGTGAGTTTCTGAATCTTTTGCATATATATAGTAAATGGTGTAAGATATATACTAACAACTTCCTTTAAACTTGTATTCTGCTTTTACTTGTTGTGGACAAATTGGGAATAATTTCACTGAAGTCAGGAAGTGCACAATCCCAGTGGTTCCAAAGATGGAAATTGCTTTATAGACCTTGCATGATAAGTATGCCTGTATGACTTGTTTGGTTTGGACCAGTGAATCTTCTGATTGCCCCCACTGACTGTACTTAGGTTCATATTCTGGAGCAGTCTTGAGATGGGTGAACTGGATTCCTCTTGTCTGAAACTAGAGCGAAAGGTGCACTGTAGGAGCACACTTAATGTTGGCAACAGTCTGAGGGACCTGACTGGAGTCAGTCTAAACTAAACTTCTTGAAAGATGTAGCTTGGAAGTTGGGTCATCAGCATGATTGTGTTCTACAAATCTGTCCGTCATAATTTGCGTGATTTAGTAACCATTTAATGGAAGTCAGTGACATTAAAAGGAAAGACACTGTCAGAATATTTCTCTGGATTACAGTTTTTCATGACAACAGCAATGGAAATAACTCTGGGGCAAGGGCTCCTTTGTAGGCTCACTGCAAATCATACACGGGTAAAGGAGAACGTTTCACACTGGGGAGAAAGATCTTCATGGATATAACATCTCTAAAAGGAAAGAAGAGAAGGACAATCTGAAAGTTACTTTAGCTGTCCTTGCCATTCCTGCAGGGAATTATTTCCTGCATGAAATTATTTTTTGAAGTGTTTTGAACATTCATGATTATATATGAGGCATATAAAAGACTACCTATGTGTAATGATAGGTATTAAAAAATGAATATTTTTAAAAACAGGCAATATTTACTTTTTCTATGAAAACTTCCAGGTTATGCATCGTACAGAATAGGAAACAACTCGATGTTACAAGCTAGGTTGCAACGAAACTAAATATTTCATCGTATGGTGTACATTTTAAAAGTTATTTGCTCACTGACTAACAGGTAGTCATAGCTTTGGAGAATATATTCAGGGGTTTTGCGTTTATTTTTGTGCGTGATAGTTTCAGTTTTCAAGCTTTGTTTTGATTGTGATGAATAAATTACTGGGGCTTCACATGAAAATTCATTACATAGGAAAAATAGACATTTATTTTCTTTTTGTCTCTGTATGTTACTGGTCGTCTCAAGGGTTTTTTTCCTAATGATGTTAAGTTTCTGAAATGATTCTTATTTTATTACTAATTATAAAAAACAAGTATCCACAGCTATATACAAAGGTGATGTTACCACCTCGACCTTGTTAGTCTATTTTCTCATGACTTCACAGTGTTTCCGCTTACGGTGTTCCTGTGAAATGGGGAGATGATATTAACCCGATTTTAGAGATGTGGTACTGAGGCACAAGGAGACTTACCCAAGGCTGTGCAAGTCATCTGTGCTTAAATGTGCTTAAATCCCTAGCTCCTGAAACACTTGCGGCATCGGCGTGTAAATGTGTGGAGAACACATTTGGGTGTCCATTTGCACAGACAGATGTGACGGCACAGGAAGGGGTCAGGTCCTTTGGTGCTACAGCTGTAGCAGCTCTGTGCAGAGGTGTTAATCAAAACAGAGTGCAGTGCGTCAGAGTGGCAGCTGGCACTGTAATGGGTAGCTCTATTTGCAGATAAGTAGATAGGTAAGTAACAGCAGCTTAATACTTACTGCTACAAGTTTCAGGGTTAATTTGGCTTGTTCAGTTGATAATTATAAAATCATTTTGAAACGTATGAGCAGTCAATTAGAAAATTTCAACATGTGAGTTTTGAAATAATAGCTTCCAAACTATCACATTCTGTCAAACATGAAGGTGACATTAGAGTTTTTACCACGAGTACTCTCTCATTTGGGTATTGCATTACTGATTTGATAATGTAAACCACTATACAGAGAGTTTACTGATATTTTCTTCTGTCAATGTTGGGAGCTCTGGAATATTCTCATTTTATAAGCTTCCTCCTTAAAAGGCTTCATTGGAAGAATAAGTTTGTCTCTTGCCCATGCCCTCCTAAATCTCCAGAGGATCCCAAACTCAATCTCATATCTTCTCAGGAAGGTTGGATCCCAGCCCCAGAGGTCCTCTGCTTTCACAGTGTGAGTGGTGAGGCCCTCAGTCACATCAGCTTTTTAGGCTGGACACTGCTGTTGCCCAAAACTCTCATAGTCATTGCTGCCGATAGGATTCCTTCCCCTGGGATTTTTCATAGCAATGAAACTCAGCAGATGCACCTCAGACTGCACCTCTTTGCACTATATAATTGTCAGTTTGGGTTTTTTTTTTCCCCTTTGTTAGCATCTTGTGAAGAATAACAGTGCCTAGGAGAAAAAAGCCTGTTGAAAATTGGAAGGGGACTCACTGCCGTGGGAGATGATTAATATGTGCTTATAGCATGGAAGAGGGAGGTGGCACACTGAGAATGAGAGGTGGATTGGAGTTAAGGACACAGTTGTCGCATAGCAGTGTTGATTCACAAAGTTGATGAAATGTCATTCCAACTTTGCTGCTGTTGAATTGATAGCAAATTGTCAGGTTTCTGTTTTCCTTGCTAAGGGTAGTAGTTTCCATTAATGATAATATAGTATGGTGTGCAATCTGTGACTCGGTATGATTTCTAGAAAGTAGGTTTTAATTCATATTCCCTGTATTTTTCCAGTATCACAATTTTGCCAAAAAATAATTAAATCCAGGGGAATTTTATCTTTGACTGATTTTAGGCTTGCTGAAGTTGTCATGGATAAATTTAGGAGGTAAAAGCTGAGGCTGAGATTTTTCTCCAAATGCATTAAGGGTCAAAAACTTTTGACCCTCGTTGTGATTTAACATTTTGACTAAGTTAAAAAGATGCAACAATCTGTTCAGCCCAAAATAGCCAAGCTACCAAATCTGTTGACTCTTGGCCAGAACTCTGTTGCAAACTGTGCTTCAGATGAACTACTGTGACTAAAATATTGGTGTATCTATATTAGCTGTGTCATAAAAATGTGTGTCATTGTATGTCAACCACAGTACTTAGTGTCAAAGGAAATGCCAATATACAGCAGGAACTTTCAACTTCGTTTTGCAAACCAGTGGGAATCAGGGAAGGCAAACTAAAACATGGGATTAAACAGATTTTACTTTCCCTGTTCTGTCTTTTTGAGCAGTTATTTCTCTGAAATGTTTAAGTTCAGTATAATGATGCTATGCCTTATAGGCTTCCAACCAGATCAGTGATACAAATTTATTTTGACATTAGCCTGAGAGAAGAAAACCTGCATTGTTTAGAAAAACAAACCAAAAACTGAACAGAGCAATTGAAAAACAAAGCATATCTGAATTTTCTGAAGAGTTATAAGGCTAAATTATGATTAAAGAGGCTAATTAAAACATTTTTAATTAAATTAAAATATTTAACATTTGAAAATTCTGATGTGAAGGACACTTTTTGTTGGATTATAATTTATAGAATAACAACATTGAAATAATTTAATTTGAACATTAAAACTGATTATTTCTCTGTTTTTTTTCCAAATTAATTATTTGAAGTCTGGTAGATTGATGTATCTTCATAAATATATATGGTGCTAACTCTGATTTTAGCACTGCAAGCAAGGTACTTTTACAGCTTTTTCTCAGCCTTATTTTCTTTCCAGGTTCTCGTGACACTCTGGCTGCTGAAATTTCCCAGATAGCCATAAGTGCTGATGTCCTTAATAGAAAAAAAAAAAAAGACAAAAAAAAAGGAGAGAAACATATTTACTCCTCAAACAATTGTTGTTTTATATAAGACAGAGCATATAGGCACAGAGAGACTTTATATGAGGTCTGCTGTAAAGAAAACTTTGCCAAGATTTTGCCAAATTTTGCCTCAGAGCAGTCTAATTGTCACTGGGAACAGTCTGTCCTGCTTTCCTACAACACGCAGTTAGTACGTGGCAGGACCTGAGTCAGTTTTGCTTGAATATTGAAACTAACAAGCTTTCTGAAAGTTTTGTTTTTCAACTTTCAGCTTTAGCTTTTCATTGATTTTGGGGAGTCTTTGTTTTTTCCCTATTTGTTTGTAAACAACAATTTTTCCTCTATTCTTGATGATAGACCTTTATTTTTTCACTTTAGAGTCAAGAAACATGGATCTTGCTCTGTAGAGATGGTCATACCCAGCTAGTTCATTGCAACACAGTCTTCCATCTTGTCTGTTTTCAATTAAGCTTTCAATAAGTGTCTCTGCTTTTTCAAATGTAACCAGAACAGAAATTTTCAATGAAGGCTGAAGGTCAAATCCAGAAATAACCGAAAGGATGGTTACAGCAACTCTCACTACAACTGAAGATGGTTCTTTAGAGAGAGTGACTGAACTGGGAACTGCATTTCTTTTTTTGTGTCTCTTTTTCAGATTTCCTCATTCCATTTTTTATTTCAGATTTTGTTTTTTTTCTATGAAACTTAGTTTTTGGCTCTTTCGAAGTCTAATTATTAGCTATGGTTCTTTAAATGGAGAGAAGCTTTACAGGCATTGTATGATATGTAAGTCAGGACAGAATAAGGGAATGCACCAAGATGATTTTTTTCACAAAGATTGAAAAAAGCACTGCGATTATTTTACTGTAGTTTTTATTTTAACTCAGTAACAAAAGACTAAAGAATAAAGGGCAAACAGAAATGATAAACACACTTGACTTTCTGGGGTGTTGGGGACCGTCTACGTTATCTTTTTATCATTGATATGTTTCTGAAAAGTCAACGAATTGGTTGCTGTATTCCCTCTATGGCTCAGGTTGTTGCCTTTGCAAATTAAATCCATAGGCTGAAATTTTGAGGAGGATATCTCACATGATTTCTTGCGTATTTACTGTCCTTTTATTCTGTTGGGAAGGCTTGTTCCGCTGTGCAGCATCCTGCCAAACGGATCAATATTGGAGATGGATTTGTCAGAGGCTGTGTCCAAGCCCTTCACTGACATTACCTCTCAGTGTACCT